CCTGCAGAGCATTTTCGCAGAATTTTACAGAGATACCTGGTTCAAAGTTGAAGGAGCTAAGCACCTAACATGGACGCGACGCGGTAGTAGACCGGGTGACAGTTTTGCTGACCTATGCTTTGGCTATGCCCTTTCGAGGTTGCTTAAGCAGATTGAGATTGAACTGCTTGACAAGTTTCCATTTGTGGCAACAGAGTGGTCCGGCATCTGCACACCCTTTCTTGACCCTGAACAGACACTGCAGAAATTAGGGCCTCTGATGCCCGTATGGGCTGACGACATTGCATTAGCTTTCAGGCATGAGTGTCCGATAGCAATGATCTCTGTTGCCTCTGAGATCGCCTCGCTTGTGTTGCATAGATTGGCTGTTGCCGGGCTGCAACCCAATCTAAAGCGTGGAAAGACTGAAATACTTCTGGATCTCAGGGGAAAGAGAGCAGTCAAAGCCCGACGGCAGTTGTCCGAACTGGAGTACTCGCTTGCACTGTCGACGCCTTTGATTAGCGAATCTCTGCAAGTGGTTTTCCACTATAAGCACCTCGGCACCATTCTCGAGAGAGGAGGGGGGCCTAGCTCGCGATCTGCGACAGAAGATCGGGGCGGCACATGATACTATGACAAAATTTCGTGCATCCTTGTTTTCCAACCGTGGGCTTCCACTTGAGAAGAAAGTGCAATTGTTCCTTTCAATGGTGCTCAGTGGAGTGACCTTCACCAGCTCGATTTGGTGTCCTCGTACACAACGGCAGTGGAACCAGCTCGAGGCGGGTTTTGGGCGCCTGTATAAGCGCCTGTGTATATGTCATTTTGGCAAACAAGCGCTAGAATGGAGCAAGGAGAAGGTCCTAGTTGAGCTCGGTATGCACAGTGTTGAAGAGATTATGCGATTGAACCGTTTGAGATATCTGTCAAAGCTCACTGCAGTCGGCCAGCCCCAAGTTTGGGGTTTGCTGCAAGCAGAGCGTTGCTGGATCGAATTTGTACAAGCCGACATGAGATGGTTGCATACTTTTTGCCCCGAAGCCGAGCTGCCATTATGTACTCCTGAGGAGTGGCCTCATCTGATTGCTTGGTTTAGCGAAAATGCTAATGCTTGGAAAAGGATCTTGAAGAGATCTTCTTGTCGAGCACTTGCTTTCAGAAAGCGACGCTATCATTGGCAAAAATGGCATCAATGGATTTTTGAGCACCTCAAAGCCGAAGGAGCGTGGCCGGAGGCCTGTTCGGTGCGCCCTAACCAATGGTTTTGTCTGAAATGCAAGATGAGCTTTGGTTCGCCAGCTGCTTTATCTGTGCATTCATTTAAAAAGCACGACCGTGTTCACACAGCCAGGTACTATATCACAGGTACCCAGTGTGAAGCATGCCTTAAGCACTATAGCAGCTACGTCAGCCTTTTCAACCACGTCAAGCGATCTCTAGTGTGTTTAGCTGCTTATCAAACTAAGGCGCAAGTAGTCGACCCTGAACCAGGGGTCAACAGTCGCAAAGCTAATGCAGTCCAACTTGGCATTAAGGACCCATACTTCCAAGCTGAAGGACCTCAGCAACTCACCACTGGCAGTTCGACCAAGGACCCGCACTATCAGAGAGAAGCCAGTTTTCTTAAAGAAAAGTGGACTGAGACGTGCGATTCTGGGCATTTGTCGCCAGATGAATGGTTGGAGGCGCTGCGGAAAGCTACTAGCGATACATATCTTTCACCAGAGGAAATACAGCAGTCCTTTGTTGAGTGGTCCAGCCACTGTGATTTCGAGTCCTTAGGGGTAAGCATTGGTGCCTTGCCAGCTCTTTCGCTTTTCCTTGAGCGCTTTTCATTTGAGTGGCTAACAGGCATGTGCACCACATCGAAAGAATGCCATGAGTCTGTGATGACTATGTTTGCGGAAAAAGCAGTGTCTTTAGAGCCTTTCCGATTTCAGCGATATCGAGTGCCTCAATATAAGCCGGCCGTATTTGCTCATTTATTCTCTGGGCGGCGGCGCCCAGATGATTTGCAGCAGTGTCTCGAGCGGCTTGGGCACATGGCTCTTTCAATAGACATCATTTTTCATAAATCCAAAGGTGATCTCTGCAACGAAGATACGTTTGCTTTCTTCGTCAATGCTTTGCGCAGCGGTTTCATTTGTGGCTTTTTGAGTGGGCCCCCGTGTGAAACCTGGAGTAGGGCGCGTGGGCAGTTGCTGCCCGATGGTGCTCCAGGACCTCGAATCGTTCGCTCGGTCGACTACCCATACGGCAAGCCACATTTGACGAAAGCCGAAGATCTCCAAGTGTCATTTGGGAGCCTGTTACTAGGCGTGACTCTACGCCTAATGGCTGTAGCCCTGACTTGTGGGGCGACAGGCATTATGGAGCATCCTGGCGAAGACCAGTCCTCACCATATGTCATTTCCGTGTGGAAGACCTTCATCGTGCGGACCCTGGTATTGTTTCCGAGATGTGCCCAGATTCGGATTTTTCAGGGTTACTACGGGGCTTTAGCTGTCAAGCCAACTGACCTGTTGGTGGTTAATGCAACGCCGCAGACTGAAGAAACCTTCCTAGCTGCCAGAGCCACCCCCCCTCCCTAAGGGAGGTGTAATAGGACGAGGGCCGGACGGCAAATGGAGAACGGCGGTACTCAAGGAGTACCCGGCCCTCCTTTGTGCAGTGTTTGCACAGGTCCTCTCTGACAGCCAGTTCCCGCCAGCCGAAGCTCCCGAGCTGCCCTCTCACTTTTTAGATGAGGTGCAGCCATTGTTCGCCGGTTTTGATTTTGAGGCGGACATGGGAGCCGACTACGGGAACCGACATTGCACAGTGTAACTCATAATTAGATGCAGCGGCTACAGGCTTCGGCCGTTGGCGTGCGCAAGAGCAAAACTGCCCAGGTTTCTCTGCAACAAACACGACAGATGAAAGTCTCTTGAATCCCGCATGAATCAACTCACCTGGTGTCCTTGGAAGCAAACAAATCACGCAGCACGCGAGCCCGGTAAGCTGGCTCGTATGCCATGATGGTCATTGGATACAACATGACACAACACAACCCAAACACTCCATGGTATTGGATCGTTTATGTTTACATTGACCCCTTTTCAACCACCCTGGTCCTCCAGTTCGCTTCGAACTCCCTCGTCGTTCCGTTCGCCACTCCTCCCGGTTCACTCTCGGTCGACTCGGCGGGACCGCCGGTGCGGCCCCGAGGATCCGCCTCGTGGTCCTTCGGCTGTTGGGAAGCCTCTTGAGAAGGTGCCTTAGGAATTTATATAGATCATCTTTGAAATGACCATGGAGGGGTGTCTTTTGTTCAACACGGATTTATTTGAATTTGGTGTCTTTCCTTTTTTGTTGCGGGAATGTCGGAACGCCTATGCTATGCTGCTATCATACGCGATCCGTCAGCTGAATTCTGCTGCATAGAACAACTCACAAACGAACAAGCCTGTGCATTTGTGTGTTGTAACCACTTGCAAACATTGTAGATACTTGTGAAAGCTTGTGAATGCTCGACTGATTGAAGAACACGTTTGATTTCTCTTCACCCCACAATCCGACTCTCTAGCCTCTGGGCATCTGGCTATGACTTTGGCAGGGGTCTCCAAGATGGCCATTGCGGCCTCAGACCAGAACCCCCCAAGAACACGGCTTGCAAATTGCAAAGTTCCAAGAAACACATCCGAAGACCCAAGACCTGCCAAAAAGAAAAAACAAACCACCGACCGGAAAGAGATGCTTGCTGTTTTTTTTCACACCAAACAACCCGATCAAACAAAACTGCCACCGGGCAGCACCGCACATGCCGCCGTATCACGCCATCCGACCGACTCTCTGTTGGTCCGAATGGCCGCTTGCTGTCTGTGCTCAAACGATCGATTTCTAAAGGTTCTTAGGTGCATCAAATGTCTCATTAATTCACGTGCGCTTGAACTGAGGGAACATGACGAGTCGAAGGTACCAGTATGTCACAAATCACAAATGCCATCAAATGCCTAATCTCAACCATTGACATCCAGCATATGTCTGAGATTGATGTACTGTTCGGTTCACATGAGACGCTCCATCCCGCCCATTCGGTCCTATCCCGGACGCTCATTCGGCTCTCCGACGGGATCGTCTTGGCCGAATTCCAAGACCATCGGCGCAGCCGGTGCCTTGCCATGCCCGTTGAACGGGGGCGGGAGTGGCAAGACGTAGACCCACATCAGAAAAAACGCAAAGGCTGCCTTTAGGCATCAAACAAAAACAGCATCAGTGACCAACACAGAAAACAACAAGAAGGCCCATCAGTGTGTTCGCTCAAGATCGCTCAACATGCAGGATGTCAAGCTTCAAAGGCCTCAGATTAGTCCTGTTTTGTAGCCTCTTCTCTACGCTCTATAGCTGCTCGGGCTACTCTTTAGCTCACTGCCACGTGGCAACGGATTGCTCGCTTCCGAATCTCTGATCTTTAAATCTTGCTTTGATTTGCTTTGGACTTCAAGGCCTTGAGAAAGGACACACCAAACACTCCATGGGACTGGTAATAAATGCTTACATTTAGACGACCAAGTCCCATGGAGAGTGTCTGGGTTTTCTGCATCGTGGGGGCTAAGCTTTTGGCTTCTGCGCACTCTGCGACCGGTGCCTCGGGGGGTGTTTTTTACGGAGTGACCGGGGCTTCAGGTCGCAGTTGATCTCCCCCCCAAAAATGAACCATAGAATGAGCATGGATTGAACCGTTCTAAAACACACAACATACACAAAGTCATGAGCTCGCAGAAGGACAACGCGTTGGAGACCGTCGGGACAGCTCGCATGACCTGCGAGCTGTCCCGACTCGTGCAAAGTCTGCACAAGACCTTGAAACCCCGACCTTCCACATTTGGCAAGAACCATTTCACGACCTTCCGAGTGGTTGACGCACAAATGGCATCCGTTTGGGTGCCATGTGTTTTCAGTGCTCGCCCCTGGTGACCGCTTGCTTGTTTCGTGGAAAATCCTTTGGCTAACATTCCGTGGATGCTGTTGATAGATCAATCCGAGTCAACCTTCGGTCCCAGGTCTTTTAGTAAAACATGTTCCAAGCCAAGCAATGCCAAACCACTTCGTCGCCAGCTGTAACTCCATGAACGGCAAAGCCCTGAGAGTCATTACATGAGCCAAAAAAATGTCAGGACTTGGGCACCGAGCAAAAGTGGCGAAAATGGGTTTTACCCTTGTCTTTGAAAGGCATGGTTCTATCGTGTTCTCAACAGTTGATTTTTCAGATCGATATGATGTCAAACAACTGGATCCGTGTGACAGAATTTGAAGCCTGAATGGCTGGACGATACCCTTCATACGATGTTCTTTTGTCTCACACCGCGCCAGGCGGAGGCGACGACTGCGCAAACCTTGCTCCGTTCGTAGGACGGCCAGGAGCCCCGTTCGTAGCGAACCTTGTTCCGTTCGTAGCGATGCCCGAAATGCTGCTCCGTTCGTAGCCTTCGCCTCGTCGGCAACGTTCATTGGTTGAATAAGATGTTCGAGACGTGGCGAATGGCTTCTTGAGAGCCCGTCAGCAAGTCCTCTTGGTGGATATTCAGATTGGCCAGCAAATAGGAAAAGAGCGCCAGGAAACCGGTGCCACAATGCAAATACACTCGGCCAATCAGATTGGAGTCAATCAACACCCCGCGCACCTCCACCCCTGCACGATTGGTTCTCAAGTACTGCAAAAAAACGGGCATGGTCTGCACGCTCGTCGGCCAAGTCGTTGTAGCCAACAGATTTGCAACCAGCATCGTTTTTCCAGGGACTCTTACCTGATGCTGCGATGGCTGAGGCGAGGATGCTTGTCATTGGAGTTTTCGTCGCCGTGGACATGCACATCCTGAGATTGGTGGAGTACCCCAGAAGAGCCTGCCTATGGAAGATCAATTCTGTTACCATGGTTTGTTTGGGTCATTGTGGCCAAGTCCAAGGCACTATTTTTTTGCGCTTTCGTGAGCCTGTATGTATGGTGTCATTTTATAGAGTTACAGTACTTACAGTACAAGGATTGGTTTTGAACTACAAGTGTCAGCTCCTTGCAAATTCCAGTAAAAAACATGGTGCCCGTCATCCTTACCACTTTGCGACAAAGTCTGCAGACAGCGGCCCAAAAATGGCCGTCGTCAACGTTGTTCTGTCACTGCCAACTCTTTATATACATGTCATGTAGAACTTGCGCTTGTTCGCGTTCAGTCGGCGGTTTTGCTTGCGTTCAGTCGGCGGTTTTGGGACGATATAGTCAACACACCATCCAACAGCTGCACGCCGGCTCGCTTCTTTTGACCTGTCCTATAGGCGTTTGATGGCGTCCTGGGCGCTAGCGCTCTTCGCGCTTCGACAACTCCATCTTGGCATGAACCGGTGCATCTGCGCGTCAGAAAACAGCGCCACAAGGGATCGGGGAACAACATGTTTGCTGAGATAAGTCTATTCACAACACACTAAACAAAGAGAAACCAAACTATTTAGGCACAACTCCCTCGAACTGTGATGCGATCAGCCAAGGCTAGGCTATATCTCCCCGGTCCCCCACCCCACCCGAACCAATTCTCATGGGGGTTTCAAACAAAAACAAAAAAACAAATGGGGGATTCCGAGCGTCGCCGTGAGCTTGTTTGGTTCGCTTCAAACATCATCGTTGTTTTACCAACAGTGTCAAAATTTGTGCAACACATGGTGAGCACTCATGTCTCTTGCATCTGGGTAGCTTGGTAATGCTTGCCATTTCATCTAAGCGGTTCGTCACCTCAAAGAGCATGATCAAAAGGATGGGCAAACCAGCTAATGCCAAAGAATCGGAGCGCGTTGCCAGACCTGTCAAGCAAGCAACCAGGCCAATCGTCCCGAAAGCCACGCTTGAGATGAAATGAGGCAGGACCATCCACATTGCAAGATCCCAAATCGTTTCTAGCGTTCCTCAGGCACGGGCACTGGCTGTTTCAAAGGAATTGGATCCACGTATCCAGCGCAATTTATGGACTAAACGTTGTTGCTGAGTGTTGAGGGGTTTCTGTGCAGGAGACCATCCAGCATGATCAACTTCAGTGAGAACTGAGCGCAAGCTGCCGCGCAGCAATCAATTCTCAAGGTTATGGGCCACCACACCGGGGCTTCCGAAATAAATTGAATGGATCGTTTATCCACACCAACAACTAAAGTGTATATTGATCCAAGGTACGGTCCATCTTTTTGTGTTTTTCTGTCATCTCCTGCCAGAACTGAGCAGGTTTTCCAGGCGCCTTGCGCTTGGCAGCATGTTCGATGTCTTCAATTAAACCTTTCACGTGGTGATGGCTCAACTTCACCACCAAGGTCTGAATATAGAAGCAGCCAGGGCAAAAAAACACCAAGAAGACCACTGCTAACCTGAGCAACAAGCCGATATAAGCCGATGTTGGCCCTCCACCGCTGCATCCATGTCTCTAGTGCAATTGATGTGGCAGCTCGAATAATTCCCACTTCAAGAATTTATTAGGAAACCGGAAGGGCATATGCGGAAGGCCAAGTATCCTGACAATACCCGACAAACGCCTGACGATTGCTCTGGCATCAAATCCCTCATGTGTCAACCTTTTTTTGCCAAATGTAGGAGTGGCTACTACTTGGTAGCAAAACTCACGAGCCCTCATCGCACAAAGAGCGCGTAGGAAACACAGCTGCGCAAGGTGTGTAAAAGGAACACTCGATGGTCTTTTTTAAAGCAAGCTCGCACACGGCACTGTGTAGTCTGACATCTGTTCTGGCACGTAATCCGACGTTCCGACATCAAGTCTTGCTTGCGTGTGCTCAACTGGTCTGACACGTAGTCTACTGATACTTAGCACAACACAGTGATGTTGGGGACGTGTCGTGGGAGCACGGAGGAGGGGGGGGAGGAGGAGGAGGAGGAGGAGGAGGAGGGGGGGGAGGAGGAGGAGGGGCCTGACATAATTGTAGAGACCCTCATCTGAAAGGTAGGGAACAAAAACATGTCCAACAAAAAACTTGTATGGAATAAGCTGAGATACAGCCACGCAAGGAGGTACATGGGATCTGATTCAAAAGCTGGGCAAAGAGGAATACCTATCAGCAAAGCGTAGCCCAAAAGCCTTGCGATCAAGTTGAGCATGGGCAGCCAATCGAAATCAAACCGACGCCCTCGCCAATCCGAATCCTTTTCATTGAATTGGTCATCATCTGCAGTAAACGCCGGTGCTTGCGAAGACTTGACGCGTGTGACCAGCTTTCTGAAACTTGTGTCGTGAAGAATGTGTGTAGCACCATAGGCTGAAGAAATCCCACAGAGCGTGGCTATGGCACACATGGCCCCGGCCAAATTGAAGGCTTTCCTTCGAGAATGGATGAGGAACATATGCTGGGATCAAAAAGTGGACCGGCGAAGACCCCGACCACACCTCTTCTTCCAGGAGTTATGGGGAGAACTAGGCCGGCAAACCTCGTTTGCCAAGCCCTTTCACGGTGTGTGATTTTTAAAAACATGAACATTTGGCAACGAATAACTCCAAACACATCCTCCAAGCTACTTGCCCAACAGGGCGACAATCTGCTCATTGGGTCTCACCAAGCAGTAGATGCATGCTGATATGGTGGCGAAGGCGCAAAGCCTACCCGGGAGTGCGAAGCAAAAGTGCTGAAACCATCTCCTGCCATCGTCCACAAAATGCCGAGAGGTGTCTGTGGAGGTGGAGTTGATCCCTAGACGACAAACAAATTCGGTTCAAACTCGTGATGTTGTGATGGCGCTCACACGTGTTGCTTACATCGGGATAGTGGTGCAAATGGGCCCGTTCACCAGTTACATAGAGAAGCGGGTGCGCGACCGACAAGCGACATGATCGTGTCGTAATTGTGAAACCAGACCCCAAGCAAAACACAGTGAATGCCATCCAGGCAACCAAGAACTTTTAGACCTATAAGTCTCCATACAACTCCCCGTTGTTAAAGGCTGGGTGTTTTGTGTTTCTCCCGCCAGTCAGGAGCGGTTTGCATTGATTGGGGAGAGCACCCTTTAACCTTGGGAAGTCAAATGACAGAGTGGCATTCTGTCTCTGACTCACAATCTGGCACACAACCCTGGGAACGATTCCATGTTCTCTTTGGCCGTCCGCACATGTCCCCCACCCCAGTCCTGGTGCCAGGGCCTAAAAGACCGTTGCGTTCCAACCTTTGCCAAATGCTCACCAACTTGTCATCCACATCACTGTCTGGACAGGTGCTGCGTGCGTGAAATGTGTCCCTTGGGCGGAACGGTTACTTTAATTCAAAAAGGTGTATATATAATGTCATACTCCCTTGCTATGCTTATAGCATCTTGTAAGGTAACTCCACTTTAAGTGCATATATATACAAATATGAAAACATATAAATACCCCGTTGCTACCGACTATAGAAGTTCACCCCCCTCATTTTATCCAGAAATTGGGTAAACAGAATTATATAGATACATGTAATATCATGTAATCTGAAAAGTGAAAAAGACAACGTTCTCAATGTTATCAAAAAACAATTAGCTTTTTTTCACAAGCTTGCAAATCTTATTTAAGACCCATTTTAGAGAACCGTGGTCGATCACACTCATTTCAGGTAGCAAGTAACTGAGATGAAGCATGCAAACCCAAGCCTTCAAACCTGATGCATAACTATGCATATTGGCCCTGGCTTCACTATAAACGAGAACCTTAACTCCACGCAGAACACTTAAAAGTCAATAGGTTTCCATACAACTGAAGGTGCCCTTTGCTAGAGGCTCGGAGCTTTGCTTTTCTCCGGCCTGCCAGAAGCGGTTTACATTCGTTGGGGAGAGCACTCTTTAACCTCGGAAATAGAATGACAAAGTGATACAACATGTCCCTTCAATTAAGAACAAACAAACCCAAACGGTGTTTGGGACTCAGGTTGTACATGCAACCACACAACCTATTGAAACCATTCTACCTGTTCACAAAAGACCGTCACTTCGAGTGATCCCCACCATGACATTTCAATCTGACAAGTTTTTCTGGCATGTGTTGAAACATTTTTTCGGCATTCTTTCTGGCATATCTTGTGACACTTTTTCCCGCATATCTTCTGACATTCTTTCCGGTGTATCTTCTGACATTCTTTCCGGTGTATCTTCTGACATTCTTTCTGGCGTATCTTCTGACATTCTGGCGTTCTATCTGGCATATCTTCTGACTCGCAGTTGAGGTCTGGCCGGGAACACTGCCCGCCGGTGCTCGCGGTTGAGGTCCAGCGGGGAGAGGACGAGGACGGCAGCTGACATAAAATCTAACAACCCTCACCTGACAGGTGGGGAACGAACAAATATCCCCGCCCCAGCCCTGGTGTTGGCGCATTGTTCCAGCTTGCCAAAGGTTCAAGCCTTGCTCTGACTGCGAGTCGTAGTCCGCATCACTGTCTGGGCAGGTGCTGAATTCGTGGAGCTTGCCAACACACTTCTTCTTAAACATTTTGAACACAAGGATCGTGATGATGCTCACTTCGGTATCGACACAAATCGTCACAACATATCACAAATCTAATCTACCTTTTCAGTACGTATTGGCTGCGCAACCGAAAAACAATGAATCCTGTCGCAAGTGTGAATGCAAGCCTTAGACTCGAAGCAGAAACAGTGAATTCTAGAACACTAAGACTAGGTTTCCACACAACTGAAGGGCTTCTTCTCCGGCCCGCCAGAAGCGGTTTACAATTCGTTGGGGAGAGTACTCCTTAACCTCTGGAAATAGAAGGACAAAGTGATGCATGTCTCTTCCAAGAACAATCAAACCCAGACAGTGTTTGGGACTCAGGTTTGTACATGTAACCACACAACCTATTGAAACCATTCTATCTGTTCACAAAGGTATTGGGCCCTAAGACGCATTGTTCCAGCTTGCCAAAGGCTCAAGCCTTGCTCTGACTGCGAGTCGTAGTCCGCATCACTGTCTGGGCAGGTGCTGAATTCGTGGAGCTTGCCAACACACTTCTTCTTAAACAATTTTGAAAACAAGGATCGTGATGATGCTCACTTCGGTATCGACACAAATCGTCACAACATATCACAAATCTAATCTACCTTTTCAGTAAGTATTGGCTGCGCAACCGAAAAGCAATGCAATCCTGTCGCAAGTGTGAACAGTGTGTGAACGCAAACCTTGACTCCAAGCAGAACACAGTGAAGTTCCGATTCGCTAAAGACTCGGGCAATCATTGGGGAGAGTATCCTTTGATCCCTGGCAAAAACTGAACTCCCTTTCATTGAAACGAAACAACTTTGGCCAACATTTTAACGCAAATAAGATCGAATAGGCAGAGAGCAAATTATTGAAACGAAATCTATGTGTGGTGAGCCCTTCTTTCACAAAAGTATTCCCATGCACCTATCCCCACTCCACTCCTGTGACTGAACAGACTCCAAGCCTTGCATTGACAGCAAGTCGTAGCACCCATCAGCCACATGTGCAGAACGCGACGATGCGAGCGCCATGTGTCGTGTCGAACATTTCACAAACGATTCGGTCAGACCAGCCGACCAGCCGTGCGCCTTGAGCCCATCTGCCCCCACACAATTCGGATCCACGCAAGCACAATGTGAGAAGCTGAGATCTGCTAGTCTTAGACCAAGAAGCAATTCCGCCATGGAACACGTAGCTTTTCAGCCATACCAAAGGCGCAGAACACCATAGAGAAGGGGGTTCACGACGTCACACGTCCAACGTGAACGTCCCGAACTGGAAGAGGCTGTCCAACATGCTCAGCTGAAACCACTCCTTCAACCGCCCTTCCTTCACATCCTTTCACTGTACGAGTACATTCTGACCACCTCCCGAAGTAAACCAATGGTGGGCCTTGTTCCGGGCCCCAAAGGGAACGCGTCGTCTCCTCCGGTGTCCGCTCGCTCTCGTCGTCCGGCTGGTCTGCTCGTCCTGGGTTCGGCTCCCCTTCGGCTCCCCAGCGGAGCGAGTCAGTCTCTGCGGCGTCGCCAGGGTGTCTTCGTTGCTCTCCTCGGCAGGACGTCCGTCCGGTCCGAGACGGTGTGGGACGACGTGGGCTCGGCGAGGTGATGCGAGGTGTATTGGAGAGATCAAGTCGGTGATTTGGAGAGTGAAACCTGTGGACTTCCTTAAAGTGGAAGAAGGAGATGACTAGGGAAGCCATGGTGACTCTGATGCAAACATCGTCCGATTCTAACATATACATCCTTTACCAAAAAGCACACAACAAAAACTCTCCCCCCCAGACATGTAATATGACGTTCGACCAATTTTTTGGGTACAGCTTACAGTTTCGCCCTAAAAGACTTTCCAGTTGCCAAAACGGTCGCTTTCGCCCCGTGAGGCTTGGACAAAGGTCTGGACATTGCTTTGCAGTGTCATGTCCTGCGCAAGCTCGTCGGCCTTTTGAAACGGTCCCTCTAAGCAGCTGCGCAAGGCTTCTGGGTGCGGGAGAAACGGTTGAAACCTTTTGACGACCTTGATGTCCCTTAGAAGGTGCTGATCTCTCTAGAGTTTAGAGGAGGGTTTTCTGGATATGTCTTATAGTGTCTCGAAAGGATTGCGTGCGATATCTTGCCTTTGTGTTCGCTTTTGGGGTCGCATGGCGTCTCAAACGCTTATATTTGAGAGAGATTGATGCGGTTCCGCAACCAACCGCCACAATTCGCAAAGAAATGGGCGAAACAACACTGGACCCACCACAGAAGTCTTCAATGCAAGCAACGCTGGACCCACCACAGAAAAGTGCAACAGCCTCGTGATATTCCTTTGCTACCACCCTCCTTCCGTTGAAAAGAACATGAAGGGAAGATGTGAAGGGAACCCCCTTCTTCACATACATCTACCCCGGCGCGATCTGTGACAACCCCGCGGAGAGTGGGTGTATCAATCCCCACCTGGAAAACATCGTCCCATCCATGTGTTTCAGGGTTTTTCTCCCCCTCCGAAAGATCATCTCCAGTCCTGTGAAAAATCCTGTGCACCTTGGAAGAGTTTGTTCAGATCTTCGAAGATTTCCTTGGTCTTTCCCTCATCCACCTTAGCGCGTTTCCGCGCGTAAGCGTGCCAATTGGCGCGTGACTGGCTGTGAGCCAGGGATGGGATACGAATGGAGACGACATGATACGACACACCAGTGATCCAGCCAGCCAGCCAGCCAAACTTGAGTTGATTCACCGAGCCAAAAAAGACCTCAAACAAGTGACAAATGGGATACATACGGGTCCCTGAAACGCCTAAAAGTGGTTGTGATTCCTTCTCTACGACCCTTCCATGAGTTCAGGACTTGCAAACAAGATCAACAAAGGACCATTTATGGTCGACATGCCTAGAAGTTTCAGTCTCTACTAGTAGCTGGACACAGGAATGTCCTCTGTTCAGGTCGTCCTGTCGAAAGCAAACTTAGCGCCTCCCGGTGTGGCAGGATGGCGGGACTGCGTCTCCGGGTGAGATGGCTTCCACTCGGTCCCAGTGGTGCCATGGGCACAACTCCCCAGCCAAGCAGCTTGGGATCCCAATACGCTCTGACTCACTGGCATGGAAGTGGAAAATAGAACCCCCGGAAGAGAACATGGCTCTACGAACCAAGAGGTTTTCCATGGTTTTCCACTTCCATGTTGCAGACTCGGAAAGTAGATCCTATCTTGAAGCTCTGGCTCTCCTATATATATATAACATTATATAACCGTGTGCCACAGCGTGCAGCTCGTGTGCAGGAGTCACCAGATGGGGGCGGACGGTTGAGTCCCATCATGTGACGTCGGGGAACCACCCCAACGGACCATCCGTGCGGACCATCCGATCCCTCTTCGCTCTCCGTGTCCGAGCTTCCCAGGCGGAGCTCTCGATCTGAAGGATCCCCTCCGAGAGCCACCTAGGGTGGACGCCGAATCTGCGCTGCAGGCGGGCTTCGGGAGGTGGCTGGGATCGCTTCGCAGCGTGTGGCGGGACCTTTTAGGATCCACACATGGAGACCTCCCAGTTTCGCCCCCCTGGCAGAAATAGACCGCCCAAGTGGGCCAGGGTGTCTCCCTGACCGGCTTCGCTGCTGCGCGCGGCTGAAGGTTGCAGACCGAGCGACACCAGCTCTGCCACGCCGGGTGCCAGCGTTCCACAGGCTTTCAGCGGCTCGAGGAGCACGGTGAGACGCCTGAGGCGAGCCATGAGCACGGGTGGACGAGCCACTCGTAGCCGCCATGGACGAGCCACCATTCACTCTTATTCTCTACAGCACCCACCAGCAAATTGTGGGGTACATTACAAAGACATTTAGCCATTAATAATATATATCTTTTATCCTGTACTTGTCCCATTCATGGAAGATCATGGAAACGTATGTCATTTCTGTTCCACTTCCACCAATCGCTCATAATCGCTTCAGCATCGCTTTTCTTCGCTTCCTGTTCTTCATGCCCTCAGTCGGACTAAGACACCGCGCAAGGGGAAGCCGCGCGCCACCACAGCGTCGGGATTCTGCACCTGAGGCCGATGTCGGACGACCGAAGAGCCGGCGTCGGCCGATGTCGGTTCCGAGATGGTAAAGAGTATCTGGGAGAGAGAGATGACTCAGAGCCAAGCTGAGCCAAGCACAAAAATGAAAAGAAAAGGAACACATATACTTATAGACATGAAACATACAAAACGCTACACCTGTACACATGTTTGGGCTCAAAACACCATGCGCCGAGGTGGGGCCTCACCCCGGGCACCAGCCAGGATACGTTGGAATGTGTTGGATGCTCAACATGAACCAACCAACCCCAACCGAGTCTGGCACAGAACTGCTACACCTCGATTGGTCCAGGGCTCCGGACGAAAACCCATGGAATCTCAAACTCCACCTGCACCTTAGTGACACGAACAGTTCACACACAAACGCATGCGCGGAGGCCAAGGCATGCGAAGGTGCAGGCGGTGCAGGCTTGTGGGTGTGGAAGAGAAACGCACTACAAATGCAACAAATGTGACACATGCACCAAACTTGTTACTCTTAGCATGATCGCTGTGCTTTGCGCACGTCAAACAACATGTGTAGGGGGAGTCTATAGTCGTCTCGTCGTCCCTGTGGAAAGACATTCTGATGACTGGTTCATTTTCAGAGTCTTCAGATTAGACATATATTGAAATGAAAGGAAGGGAATGCATCTCAACAACCCATCCATCTATTTCAACACCCATGTGCATCACCCATCTCGCCGCCTCACTGACCTCTTCGGTGTTCAACAAACCTGTCAGAGACACATCCACTGCACGCAGAGTTTAACTCTGTGCGTCTTCGCAACGGTCAAGGGCCATGCCGCATGCCACAGTCACTGGAGAAAACCTCTGGTGAAAGGACTTGAGGGATGATCATAGGTTTTCGGCGTTCCAAAAAGCTCTCGAAACCATTTCGAAGCCACGGCAGGCGCCACCAATCGAAGCAATCAGAATCCATGGGTTTTCGGCGTTCCTGGCCATGACGGGCTGGCAAGTTCGGCTTCTGCCTCCAACCACATGCAAGCTGTGGGAGGAGAAGGTGGCTGCGCACTCATTGGCGCGGAGGCCTCAGAGGAACGGGACCGATGCCAAAGACCCCAAAGAACCGGACAAAAAACACAGAGAACGTTCACAAAATTGCTTCAAGTCGCACTCAAAGACACACACCTTATCACCATCACACACCTTACCTTGCCTGCGCACACCGTCTTTTCAACTGAGTGCCCCCTGCCGCCCCAGCTGATGCTGCAGTCCAGGTAGTGCACCTCTGGGCGCCGGGAGATCTGCAACGCCAAGTCGATGCCCCAGTCCTTCACGTGCTCCGCCGAGACCTCCGAGCGCTCCGCAGCGGTGAAAGCGGCTTCTTTTGTTCTCCGCCGCGCCCGAGGAGGAAGCGGAGACGGAGGTTGTTCGAGGGCCAACAAAAACCGGTGTGGTTCAGTGCGTTTTGTGTTTTGTGTTGTTTTTCTAATTCAATGGGTTGTTCAGTGCGTTCTGCAGGAGGCACCAGCTAAAGAAGGGTGGTGAGATGATGTGAGATGTGGTGTGGGTGGATAGGTGAGTGGGTGGGTGGGTGGCTGGCTGGCTGGATGGATGGATGGGGCTCTATGTTTTTTGCGGTTGATGAATTTCATGGAGGTTGACGGCGGAATGGATGCTGCTTGCTGGTTCGCACAAATTGGAGCAATCATGATCTCTATCAACTCTTGGCAACTTCAAATTCCATCCTTTCCAAACCACACCCCGCTGTAGATCCTAACTTTCACCCCGAATAACACCCCTTCCTCCCTGCGCCCATGCGCACTTATTACTGCGCGTAGAAACGCTCACTGCGCGTCCACCACGCCCGAGACGACCCGCGCACGCGCCTCTTCCTTGAGCTGGCGTGCGACCCTGGGACCTCTCAATGCTGCCAAAAGCTCCAAAGCCGGGGCCTGGCAGCTTCAGCGCATTTCAGCGCTATCGATCGTTCTGAGCTCAGGCGCTGGAGGTGGAGTTGGCAAAGCTCATTTGGGCACAACCCGGGCGCATGCAAGCCTTTGAATGGGTCTGTTCAACATACGGTGATATATAAGTTGATAAGTCAA